GGACTCACATCACAGAAAGCCGATAATCCATCCAAACAAAAACAAAAATGGGACAAAAGGGACACGAAGATCTGAACAAGATCGCCCTTACATTCATCCCTGGCTAGGCAGCTTCATCTCCTCTAGTCTAACCCGCACGACCGAGGAAGCAAGGTTGTAGGCTGGTATTTCCAAAAACCCGAAACCGACGGTCAGATCAAGCACTCGTACAAGGACAACTCAATCTGGCCACTGGTTTTGTGCCTTTGCCTAACGTCACTATGATGACATCACGGGAAAAAAAAAATTAATAATAAAACACACACGCACACACACAATTCACAGATGCCCTATGGCCTGAGCCACACCAATTGGTTCCTCCTCCACTATCGACCTCAACGCCATATAAAAAAAAAAAAAAAAAAAAAAAAAAAAAAAAAAAAAAAAAAAAAAAAAAAAAAACCACATCCATCGGGAAACAACCTCACCGTCCATTTGTGCCCCGAGATTCAAAACCACCTTCGTCCATTTTTGAAATTCGTCACAAATTTCGATGTCACCCTGAGACAAACGTTGTTCACCATCTACAAGAGACTAAGGATACACTGAAACAAGACTTGACATTATTTTCAGGAACTACGAGGCCATGAAGCATAGAGGCCGTAACACAGATCGCCATAGACCTGCTCTCACACCAAAAACAAAGGGTAACGAGAGAAAAGCATGACCACAAAAAGATTATCCCAATAAGAAACAAAACTGTAACTAAGATGCGATTAAAAAACAATAACAAATTCAAAAACATAGTGTAAAATAAGGCATGCATGAAAGCAGAAGATGTAGTACAAACACACGTGCTTGCTGTCAAACACCAACTATGAAACAACCCATGTTACCATCAACTCCTTTTCACTCTACACAATCACCGTTTGTCTATCTCAAATCAAAAACCCGCGTTTGTGTTCCATCCACCGACATCATATCTAAACAGACTTCATAGTGATCCTTTCTCTCCCAACCACCGACATCATATCCTCGCATGCCTTGGCTCCTCAACACCTCAATAAATCAATGTTTTGTCTCATGTATTGATACCATAGACTAAAGAGTTAGTAAGATCCGTTCCGTACACAAATTCTACAATCACACATGTGTGGAGGTTTACATACCATTGTCTATTGGGAGCACATTATAAGTATGGTGATGACAGTCTCGTTTTTCATATCACGTTCTTTTGCTCGCATTTCCTTTGCTCTCTTCTTCTGCCCTTTCTTCTCTCTTCCTCGCCCTCTCTTCTTCTGCCCTTTTCTCATCTTGGACGCCTTTCAAAAACACGGTCCACCGTGGTTTCCATAGTGCATCAGCGAGCCTCATGTTCTTCACGTTTATTGTCACCCTCTTCGCGTGGATCGCGAGCTCATTTGTATTCTCCATGAGATGCACGAGGTATGCTTCAGCAACCTCAAGGAGTGCACGCATTCCAACCAACTCGAACCTGATTCCACTTCCAGGTGCCACATCTTTGTTGACGATCTCCCGTACAAGCCTCAAGAATGGCGTGAAAGGCGAGCAAAGATTAACAGAGCGCTGCAAGTGGCGGATTTCTGCCAATGTAGCCTGCCCAGGACATCGTCGCCGCTTTGCAACCCCGACTTTTCGCTTGGTTGGGACCTTTGTATTCCCCACAGCTGGTGCATTGCCCTTGCCTTTCGACGCGCCGCACTTCTGCTTCTTTGTCTTCTCCCTCATCATGTCGTCTGACCTTGCAGATGGTTCTGCACCCCCCATTCTTTCTTTTAACCTCGCAGATGGTTCTGCACCCCCCATTCCCTGTTCTAACCTCGCAGATGGTTTTACACCCCCCATTCCCTGTTCTAACCTCGCAGATAGTTCTGCACCCCCCATTCCCTGTTGTAACCTTGCAGATGGTTATACATCCCCCATTCCCTGTTCCACATCACCACAACCTGCGCCATTCAAGTTTTCTTCATCTGGCCTCTCGACATCTTTGCCCCCATCCGGGCTCTCCACCTCTGATGAAGAGTGTGTCTCCTTATCGTGCCCACTTCTTCGTTTCCAATCATTGCACATTGTTTGCGAGTCCTCCTCAGGCATGCACTGGATGTAACGCAACAGTCCATCTGTGTATGTCACATTAAATGGAACGCCAAGAGGGTCTCTCAGTATCATGTTGATATCTGCGCCACAGTCGAATGTCATGGGACATACAACCGGCAACCACCCAAGAAGAGATGCACTCCCGTGTCTGCAACGAATTGTGTCGAGACAGTTGTTTGGTGTGTCCGTTTTGGCATCCCTTGTGTCCATGAAACCCGTGATAAACCACATCTCCTTGTCTGGATACGTGTCATATCCCACCATGACCATATGACGGTCCTCCGACCTTATTTTCGCCGAACATGCCGTTGCGTGTCTCACTAATGTTGTCTTGTCCTTCACTCGAGTGTTGCAAATAGAAACACGTGCAAGGACAACCAGGAACTGCCAATGTTCCAACAGTCCTACATGCATCCAACCAATGGGAAACCAGTGACCAGAGTTCAACCTTACCGCCATGGTCGCTTTGCCATCTACTATGGCTGGATGCAAGACGCATGAAATTCACTTAACATTGTACCCGTATATGTGAGACGACACGTGTTCATCTAGTTTGCTCAAATCGATGACATTGTCTGCGATGTCATGTTCCGCCCGCAACACCTCCATTGTCACCATTGGGTCCCATATGTCATAGCATTGTCCACAGTATGGAGCTTATGTTCCCATAGACAACTCGTACCTCACGCTCTCAGCCCGTCTGAAAACTTTATCCTCCGAAACTCCATGCGCACAAGGTGGGCAAGTGGTGGACAAAAGTCACGAGCATTATGACCATCATGTGTCATGGCATCCCTCTCATGTGCAGACACCTCTCTGTCAATAAATCGACATCTGAACTCGCCATTGATGTACATAGTCTTCCAGCAATTTCCCGTGAGATCACACACAAGAATCTTACAATGACCATAACGAAAAAGAATTTGTGACGGCACCCACCCTCATTGCACATCCCTTCTAGGATCGTTGACATCAGACACAACATTTATTATTCCCGTGTCCTCTTCCATCACCCATGACTCACGGCAGACCACACCATCATTGAGCCGTAAATCACCCGCCTCCCAGAGTTCATTTTACATTTTCGAGAGAATGACGTGAGACATCTAACAGGCATGCACTATCATTGAGCCTGATCAACCTATCCAAAACTATGGCCGCAGTGACATTGCGCCCTGTCAGCTCCGTGGGTGGTTGATAAGGAATCCAACTTTCTCCACATTTGAAGGCTAAGCAGTGCTGACCTCCAATGATGTCAGGTTGTATACAGCCAGGTTCCCAATTGATAGCATATTGAAAACATTCCCCAACATTCGTCCTTCGAACATTCTCGTTAGGCACAATGCACAACATACGGGAGTGCGATGTACCGACATCTTCCCTGTTCGCCACTTCTTTACCAATCACGGTCTTGCCATGGCTGTTGCATCCTCTCCCAAGTTCATCATCATTTCCCATCACCATCTCTTATATCCCAACATCCAGTGTCGCCCCTATGCCACACTCCGTCTCCATCCCCCCTTCTTGTGCATTCATGTTTGTCTGTTGCGCCATTGTCACCAATGCTCCCGCCATGGCTTCCACCATGTCTTCTGTTCCGATGTTGATGGTCTCTCCGACTACTGCGGTTGAAGCATTAATCCATCCATCTAGTCCACGAGACATGACATGTTTTTTGTGAGAAATCATTGTTGCGAAAACTGTTGGTGGAGGAGAGAGAGAGAGAGAGAGAGAGATGAAATGACCCTCAGTACCATACTGATTTCCGGGGATGTAACACGACGCTGTGTGGCGAATGGGTATCTGGAAAGAAACAGCGGCTGACGTGAAGGTGAACACACCATCGGGGACGTGAAGACACCATTGGGGACGTGAAGACACTATTGGGGACGGTTGGCTAGTGCGTGTCATTTGTACACACACAAAACGGTAAGGCACAACACTTAGCCCCCACTAGTGAACCGACTTTAACACATACACCACTGCTGATCGGAACAAGCCCAGCGAACAGCTACCAAATAGTCGGCATCTCCGCACCATCGGGGACGTGAAGACAGCATTGGGGACGGTTCACTAGTGGGTGTCATTTGTACACACACAAAACCGTAAGGCACAACACTTGGCCCCCACCAGTGAACCGACTTTAACACATAGACCACTGCTGATCGGAACAATCCCAGCGAACAGCTGTCAAACAGTCGACATCTACGCATCATCGGGGACGTGAAAACACCATAGGGGACGGTTGGCTAGTGGGTGTCATTTGTACACACACGAAACCGTAAGGCACAACACTTGGCCCCCACTAGTGAACCGACTTTAACAGATGGACCACTGCTGATCGGAACAAGCCCAGCGAACAACTGACAAACAGTCGGCATCAACGCACCATAATGGGATGGTTGGTTAGTGGGTGTCATTTGTACACACGCAAAACCATAAGGCACAGCACTTGACCCCCACTACTGAACCGACTTTAAAACATAGACCAGTGCTGATAAAAACAACCCATGCGAACAGCTACCAAACAGTCGGCATCTACGCACCATCGGAAACGTGAAGACACCATTCGGGACGGTTGGCTAGTGGATGTCATTTGTACACACACAAAACCGTAAGGCACAACACTTGGCCCCCACTAGTGAACCAACTTTAACACATAGACCACTGCTGATCGGAACAAGCCCAGCGAACAGCTACCAAACAGTCGGCATCTACGCACCATCGGGGACGTGAACACACCATTGGGGACGGTTCACTAGTGGGGGTCATTTGTACACACACAAAACCGTAAGGCACAACAGTTGGCCCCCACTAGTGAACCGACTTTAACACACACCACTGCTGATCGAAACAAGCCTAGCGAACAACTGAGAAATAGTTGGCATCAACGCACTATTGGGGACGTGAAAACAGCATTGGGGATGGTTCACTAGTGGGTGTCATTTGTACACACACAAAACCGTAAGGCACAACACTTGGCCACCACTAGTGAACCGACTTTAACACATACACCACTGCTGATCGGAAAAAGTCCATCGCACAGCTGAGAAATAGTCGGCATCAACGCACCATCGGGGACTGCTAACATGACCATTCGGGACGGTTCACTAGCGGGTGTCATTTGTACACACACAAAACTGTAAGGTACAACACTTGGCCCCCACTAGTGAACCGACTTTAACACATATACCACTGCTAATCGGAACAAGCCCAGCGAACAACTACCAAACAGTCGGCATCTACGCACCATCGGGGACGTGAAGACACCATTGGGGATGGTTGGCTATTGGGTGTCATTTGTACACACAGAAAACCGTAAGGCACGACACTTGGCCCCTACTAGTGAACGAACTTTAACACATGGACCACTGTTGATCGGAACAAGCCCAGCGAACAACTGATAAACAGTCGGCATCAAAGTACCATAAGGGGACGGTTGGCTTATGGGTTTCATTTGTACACGCACAAAACCATAAGGCACAACACTTGGCCCCCACTAGTGAACCGACTTTAACACATAGACCACTGCTGATAGGAACAACCCCAGCAAACAACTACCAAACAGTCGGCATCTACGTACCATCGGAGACGTGAAGATACCTTTGGGGACGGTTGGCTAGTGGGTGTCATTTGTACACACACAAAACCGCAAGGCACAATACGTGGCCCCCACTAATGAACCGACTTTAACACATAGACCACTGTTCATCGAAAGAATCTCAGCGAACAGCTGCCAAACAGTCGACATTTACGCACCATCGGGGACTTGAAGACACCGTAGGGGTCGATTGGCTAATGCGTGTCATTTGTACACACACAAAAATATAAGGCACAACGCTTGGCCCCCAGTAGTGAACCGACTTTGACACACACACCACTACTGATCGGAACAAGCCGAGCGAAAAACTGACAAAGGGTGTGTGTGTGTGTGTGTGCGGTGGGCAGGGAGGGAGTAGAGAGAGAGAGAGAGAGAGAGAGAGAGATAGATAGAGAGAGAGAGAGAGAGAGAGAGAGGTTACGATGTCGGGACAAAAACCCCTCGGAGGGTTTCTGCCCGAGCTTTTTAAGGTCAGACACTGCCCGACCCTTTTTTTTTATCGGGAAACTTGACGAGTTAAACGTTGCCAAAGTTATTCAGACCAACCCTATAATGGAGAGGCCTAAAGCCTGACGTCGTTGACGTGTGACATCATCAACCTTAGTTCGAGACAGCAAGAGTCGGCGCTAGCGTCCGCGTCCCTCGACGAGGCCGACGTGGTGCATGGTCAGGGAAAGGTTTGAGCTAGACCTAGTCTACCTAGCAGCCGCGCGATTCAGGGTCTATGTAGGCTAAAAACAGGGGTGTGCCGGGTACAGAGCCGCGGCTCAAGAGGAATAGGAAGTTTGGGCCTACGAGGTTGGGGTCTGAACCAGAAGGCCAACTGGCCGATGCCGAACTCTACCCGGTTATGTGAATACCAAGCCACGGTAGCACGGCTAGCCGGTAAGGCACGACCAATAAGCGAGGTCTGCGATGCCCCGAACGGGCGAGGCCGACAAGGCCACAGGCTGGGGGAGCCGGCCGTGCTGTTAAGGGACGGTGGGCCAGGCTCCACAACCCTTTAAGTAGGAGAGTTGCTCCTACTACAACTGTACTAGGAGCCAGCCCAAGAGGTCAACGTAACAGACTGTCACCCCGCAGATCCGAGGATTGAATCCGTATGTGTCCTCGGGCTGGCTCCTTTTTAGAGCAGCTAGGTGAGTTGGCGCGACCGATTTCGACCGCGCGATCGAAGAGATCGTGCGGCTAGAATCAGCCGCGCAGAAG